CGGGGCGCAGGGCAGCGCGGCCACGGCCTTGGCGTGCTCCCCGTACAGCTCCATGGGCTCGAAGCGCTGGTGGTTGAGGAACTCCAGGAAGTCGAAAGGGTAGCTCTGGAAATGCACGCCGTCCTCGCCCCCAAGGCCACCGCTCCCGCTGCCCCCCGCGGGGTTCGCCTCCATCTCAGTGTAGCTGGGAGACCCTGGAAGAGAGGTGGGGCTAAAGGTGGGCTGAGGACGGGTGGGGCGCCCTCCCCTTTGGTCCTGCTTCCCCCCAGGTTCCAGCCTAGGCCATCACACTGTTAATGCTGCAGACGGGATGGCTTCTTCTGGAGAAACAGAGAAGCTAAGAGCCTCCCTCAGGACCACAGAGCCACAGTCTTTCCTATTTTGGAGGTGCTCCCCAGCACAGGGCTTGCATGTGCCTGGCAAGTTCTCTACCACTCAGCTCCATCCCGACCTTTCCACTTTTATTTTGCAACAAGCTCTCACTGAATTGCCCAGGCTGGCCTGAAACTTGAATTCTTGCTGCCTCAGCCTCTGATGCAGCTGGGACCACAGGTGTGCACCACCACCCCTGGCTCAGAACAGCAGGCTGTAATGGAACAACTGGCTCCTCCAAACAGGAGACCCCTCACCTGTGCAAATGCCCCTGGGGTGTTTCCTCTCATACAGGAAGAGATGGAGCCAGGAGTCTCATCTAGAGGTGCTCCCCAAGTTATGAGGGACCAGGTGAAAGGGGGTGGTGGGTATGGCCTCGAGCAGACAAAGCACCTGAAATGTTCATCCCCACACTCGAACTCGGCCCCTTCCCGAGTGCCCTTCCAGTCCCTCGCTTCCCAGCCCAGCATCCAGCTGAACTCCTTCCAGCACAGTTAATCACCATGTGGGGCTTTCTGCTCTGGTACTGGAGGCTGCACCCTAGCCTTTAGGCCATGTTGTATCACCAGCCCATTTTTATATTTTTGAGACACAGCCTCACTAAGTTGCCTGGCCTAAGCTTGAACTTCCGGCCTCCCAGCATGTACAGGGATGACAGGTGTGTACCACTGACTCACCCATTCCTTCCTGTGTCTCCTGGCTGTCACTAAGAGTGAGGCTCTGCCTGAATGTCCAGTACCTGCACAGATGCTTGCTCATGTGCAGGAAGGAAACACCTTCCTAAGCCTCTGGTGGGTCCATGGAGATGCCCAAGGGAAGCGAGGAAATGCTTCATGACGGATGAGAACAGAACCTCACCTGGGGAGCTGAAGCGGCACAGCTAGGGCAGTGCCGGGGCAGGATTCACAGCCGCCAGAGCCTGTGCTGTGGGTGACTGGACGAGACTCTAGAGAACCCTGACCCCAGTGGGGACATTTAGTAGGGATGGAGCAGATGTGAGGTGTCTCCCAGGAGGAAGAATTCTGGGGACAGTGGCGGCATGAGAAGGGCACTGAAACAAGGGGGCAGGTGTAGGCCGGGTGTTCCTGCAAGTTTCCACTGAGAAACAGGACATGTCCTCTCTGGGGATTTGACCCTGGGAAGACGTCTAATGGAGGGTTTTCCACACAGCAGCACAACCAGGAGAGAGGGGCTCCTTGGGGTGGGGGGAGTGCCCCAGAAAACACAGCAAAGCCTGCACAGCGCCCTCCTGTTGTTGGTGTCAGATACGTACCACTCCCTTGTGCCCACAGAGATTAAGCAGGGAGACAGGGACAGAGGGGACACCCACCCACTGAGGTCGTGGAGCCACGAGGGACAAGCAGGTGTCTGATGCCAGGGATCTGTGAGCTCTTCAGGGCCACAGAGCTGCCTTGTGCAGCAGCCAGAGCCTACCGGTGACAGTGACAGTTACAGTCATGGATTGTAAGGGTAGCCCTGAATGCCTGTACCTAATCCTCCTCATGACCCTGCGGAATGCTCACCATTACTGGCGCCTAAACCCAGAGGAAGGAAGGAAGGGCCCTAGAGTGGGAGGGGTGCCTCGGTCTCCAAAGTCACACAGCAAGCACTGGGTTCCAGAGTGTGCTCTCATCCCTACAACACGCTGTACAAAGCAAAGGCTCCCCTCTTCCAACATACACAGAGATAGGACCCTCGAATCCCACGTCTCCAAGTGTGACCCACATCCAGGACAGGTCACCACTTGTCACGTTCAGAGTCATAACTCCCATTACAGACAGAGGACCGGGACTGAGCCATGGCCCCTCTACTCACAGCCCTGCAGTGTTCTGGCTCCAAGTTAAAACCGCTCCTCCAGTGCTCTGGCTCCACACTCCTCCTGCCTGGGGATGAGCCCACACCACCAACCTCCTGTCTCTGCTCACTTGTCCTCTCAGAGGGGCCCTCAGTAACCTAGTGCCTCGCTGCCTTCAGTCCTCTCCTCACCACCCATCATAACCTAGGGCTTCGTGTATTCCGGTTCTTCTTGAGTCTGGGTGAGATTTTATGTTTGGGTCATTGCTGGGTCCCCATGACCTGTGGAATGATCCGGGAGGGGCTGAGCACAGGAGGACTGGTTTGCTGGAAGGGATGAGCCCCAGTAAAATTGGGGCCCATCACAGCACCCCTGGGAGCACAGTTGTCCAGAAGGTGGGAAATTGACACTGAGAGCTAACTCCTCCTGTAGTTACTGGGAGGGCAAGAGGAAAGTCTACGGGGCAAGGCCTTCCTGACACCCACCCGGTCACTATCCCTCACCTCACTGGACTTGACTTCACACTTGCTGCAGTATTTGGCCTTTCCTTGCCTCTCACCCAGCACATCCACTCTGCATGGACACAGGATTCCTCTTCCTGTGCTCTCTGTAGCATCCTGAGTGCTTGCAGCTGCTGAACACCCATTTAAGGATGAAGGCAAAGGTTCTCTCTTGGAAAGCAGAAATACTGACAGTGGAGCTATACGGAGAGCAGAGGGGTGACCCTGCGGGCTTGGCAAAACTGACGGGCCAGAGGCTCTGCCGCAGGCCCTGGAGACCACGCCTTTCCGCCTCCCATCCTCCCCTTCAGTTCTGCTCCAACTTCAGCGGCCCCTGCTGCTCCCCCACTCATTATGGTCCCCACCACCTTGGGGCCTTGGCGCTTGCTGTCCCCATCTGTCTTCCCAGATCTCTGCATGGCTAAGGTAGCGCTGGCGCAGGCTCCCCCTCGGAAGCAGCTCACCAGCCTCACACAGAACGCACACAGCTCAGCCTTGTGTCATGTGTTTGCTCTTTTCCGACCTGCCGCCTCAACTAGTCGGTTAGACCCCGAAGATGAGAGACTGCGTCTCGGCTTCACAGCTCCCGTCTGGACTACAACAGTGAGTACTCACTGGGTAAACGATCAATGCCTACGAAAAGGTGAGTCACACCTGGGCTCTCCTGGGAGCTCCAGGGCCAGCGCGAGGAAGAGGGACGCTAAGGAGAGGAGCCTCGCAGCGGGCGCTGTTCCGGGGCAGCAGTACTGAAGCCGAGCCGCCCGGCAGGCCACTCCGCCCCTCCCGAGGGACAGGATGCGGGTCCTGAGAGATCGGACGCTAGAGGGAGCTGCCCCACCTAGGGGCGGTGGGAAAGGGGGCGTCCCGAGCATCGCCGAGGAGGCTGCCGGAGCGGAGAAGGTATTCCTGGTATGGACCAGAATAAAAGCACTTTTCACCAACAAAGGGGGCGCTGGGGGCGGCTCGCGTACGGACAGAGCGAGGGCAGTTCGGGTACCTCTCCCGGGAACCACCCCTTCCCGGGGGGCTCGGCCCGTAAGGGGCTCGCGGGAGCTGCCCCCGGACGGGGAGCGACGCTGGTGGCGTGTGGGGAGCTGTCCTGCACCAAGCGATGAGGGGCCGTGTGGCAGCGGCGCTATGAGAAGCATTTGCGGGAGCCCTGGCAGTTGGGTCGTCACGAACGAAGGCGCTTTGAAGGAGGCCACCCTGGGGTGCCCACCGGGGCAAAGGCTGAACGGCCTTACGGAGAGCTGTGGCTGGGGCCCCCGGGTAGGCCCGGCGGAGAGGC